ACAGCAATTAACCACTAGGAAGAATGTATGCAATGTGTTAATTATTGAAACTGTCCTACCAATTTGATTTGAAACTGTCTCACTGCTGTTTATCAATAAAACTATGGGAAACAAACAAACAAACAAAAGATAATGTCATCAACTGCACTTTTTTCCAATGTGTGTGAGGCTCCCAATCCATTTACAGTGAGCTTTGGGAACAACTCCGCAAGCAGGAACAGCGAAGACTTCCTTGTGGACAGTGCCCCTGCATGAGCCCACCCAGAGGAGAACGTTTCCTCACCCTCCCCTTGCATCCCTGCTCCATCCACTCACTCACAGGCAAGGAAAATGGGGAAATTCAGTGCTCCTGCAAGGGCAAACCTATAGGTACAAGGGAGGTGAAAGGGCCTGGCAGCCAGCCGGCCGGCCGGGAGAGGACCAGCAACCACGGGGACGCGAGCTCCGGGGGATGGGGAGGGGCGTAGAAGACCGACCACACCCGGCTGAGGCAGGAGGACTGCTCTGAATTTGAGGCCAGCCTGGGCAGGAAAGGCCAGCCTGAACTACACAGTGAGACCTTGTCTCAAGAAGCCAAAAATTAAAACAGCAAGCACAACTGTTGCAAGCACTTCATGCTTTTGCCCATCACTACACAAGCCTACAGGCACTGCTCTAGGCTCCTGAGCCTGTCGCTTAGCAAACAGCCTGTGGGAGATGAGCTGCCGCTGTCTCCTCTCGCTTGGCGGCAGGAGGTGCTGCACAGCAAGAGCAAGCACAACTGTAACCCCTGGGATCGGTAATGTGAACATCACCAATCTAATGAAGGGCTTTGCAAGCCACATAACGAAGCTGAGCTCATTTTTATGAACTATTTGTATACATTTTTCAGGAACAAAACTAAGATTTATAGTCTTAGCAATTAAAAAAAAACTTGTGACAGAAATTTTTATCAAAACTACACAAAGAAAAGATTCAGAAAAGTAAGGTAGCCAGGCATGCTAGTGCAGGCCTGTAATCCCAGCACTAGGGAAGTGGAGGTAGGATTGCCAAGAGCTCAAGGCCAGTGCGGGCTACAAAGTGAGTTCAAGGTCACCTTGAACTGCACAAAGAAACTGTGTATCCCCCCCAAAAAAGGCTAAGTATTTTTTTCCTATTTATCTATTTACTTACTTGTTTCAGGGTCAAGCTTGCAGCTCGGACTCATAGTGATCCTCCTGTCTCAGCCTCCCCAGTGCTGGGATTACAGGAGTATGGCACCATGCCTGGTTTTATTTTTATTATTTAAAAAGAATTTTTTTGGGGGGGCTGGCCAAATAGCTCAGCAGATTAAATTTCAGCAGAGTCTCCCAGGGGTTTGATCCCAGGCCTGCCGAGCCAGTCCCACCCCTGGGGCACGCTGAGATGGCAATTGAGACTGGGTATGGTGGCGTGCGCAGGTAATCCCAGCTCTTGGGAGGCTGTAAACAGGCAGATCACTGCAAGTTCAATCTAGCAGTGAGACCCTGAACATCCTGTAGACTTTTCTCTAAAATACAGAAAACACACACACACACATATAATATA